AATGGCTAGCATTAAGAAATCAACCAATAACAAATGCTGGCGAGGCTGTGGAGAAATAGGAACCCTTCTCCACTGCTGGTGGGAATGCAGACTGGTGAAACCACTGTGGAAATCAGTTTGGAGATTCCTCCGAAAACTAGGTTTATTTTTGTGGTTTTTGTTTTGGTTTGGTTTGGTTTAGCTTTTAGTGGTACTGGGGACTGAACCCGGGGCTTTGTACATGTTAGGTAATTCTGCCACTGAGCTATAATCCCAGCCTCCAAAACAAAACTTTGGGTTTTTTTTTTTTTCATTTTTTTAAAATACAAAGATACAAAGATGAATTTTCTTTTAAATGATTTTCAAAGAGAAATAATCCTCCCTGGTATTGTGAATAAAACATGTATAAATTTGGAAAGTTTAAATCATTTAGGAAGATACAAAATTAAAAGTTTGAAAATAACATAAAGCCTATTTTATCTATCAGAATAAATATAGAGACCACTGCTTATGTATTCTTATAGACAAATTGCTGTAATTTCATTAAGTACATTTTAAGAGATGCTAAATCTTCAGGAATACAATGCATATCAAATGACACAGCCTTATATTATTATCATTTTTCTGACATACAGAGCAAGAAACTGGGAAAGAGAAAGTGATGTATCCAGCATCTCTGCAGTGCTAAGCAGCAGGCGAGCTTGTGGTCCCGGGTGTGGTCAGCCCCAGAAGTCATTGGCCACACACGCCGAGCCATCCCGGCAACTGACCAATGCCAGTGACCTCTGCAGCCAATGCCAGCGAACCCCAAGACCACTGACCCATAATGTAACTTGCGATCGTGCCGAGCCCAATAAATAGTCAAATAAATCTTCACTTCATACACTGTGGTGCAGATTTGATATGGAAAACACCGTTTAACACAGTTATTTAGAAATGCACATTTTAAAGAAAACTGACTCTACTTAAGGAAAGTGACACCGCTGTAATAGTTACAAAAGAATCTTCGTAGATGACAAGATATCTCTGCTAAAGGCTGTGCGTTAACCCCAACTCACATCTTAACAAGCTTTAGGTAAAGTGGTAGTAACAACCATTGTCACTTTCTGCCGTAAACCCTGGATATAAGAGGAAAGAAGATTGATCTAAATGTGAGCAGACGAAAATCAAATGTATCAAATATTTGTATCTATCGTACTGCAGGGACTGTGTTGTTCTACGTGCGTCAGCCTCTGTAAGCCCCAAAGGGAGACGTCAGCACCGTGCCCTGACGCACAGATGGACCCCGAAGGTCTGAGGTGTCACGCAAGCTCTCCGAGGCCCCTCAGCGGTAAGTGGCTGCATCAGTTTGCTAGGGCTGCCGCAAGAAGTGGCTCAGAAATAGCCCTGGTGCCTGGAGCAGAGATCAAAGCACCGTCAGCGCTGGCCGCTCCGAGGCTCTCTCCTCAGCTTGCTGATGGCCATTTCTCCCTATGTCTTTGCACGGTTTTCTTCCGTGTGCCTGTGTCCTACTCGCTTTTTTTTTTTAAATAAGGACATGTTTTTATAATGTCATATTGGAGTAGAGACTAGCCAACTGACGTCATTTCAAGTTAATTATCTCTTTAATGACCCTACCTGGAAACAGGGAGGTAAAGCTGTGGAGATGGAGGGGAGCTGGGAGAGGGAGATGGTAGGAATGGAAAAGGAAAAGGATCTGGACATGACGTGGGAGTGCGCCAGTTCTCCAAGCACAGTGCATTTGTCATGTCTTGTAAACGTATACTTATAAAAAAATAAAGACCCTGTGTCCAAATATTCACATTCTGAAGTAGTGGAGATTAGGGTTTAAAGAAATGAATTAGGGGGAGATGTGTACAATTCAGCCCACAACATCACAGAAGCTGGGTTGTTTCTGTTATCCTGTGGTGCCTTCACGTAAGAAAGCCTTTAATCCCAGTGCGAGTGGGGGATAACCAGAAAACTGACAATATCTATTTATAGCCCTCTATCCATAGTGAACCAAAACTCTGAGGCCCACAGCGCGGCGCCTGCTTTGTTTCCACTGTAGGGAAATGTCAGCTAATGAGCCCAATACCGCCATAGTGTTTGTTTTTTCCCTGAAGTCTCCACAGATACAGAAAAGCCCAAAGGCTTCTGCTAAGCAGGGCTGGGCTTCCGCTGCAGGACTGAGAGTCATCGCCTGCCCTAACCTCTGGCCCAGCTCCCATGCCAGAACAACCCTGGGCACGACGCGGCCAGACGGCAGTGCCCAGTACCGTTGTCTCCGTCCATGAATAACACCCAACCCGTGCCCATTTATTCCCTAAAACGTTACTTTCTGAGACGGAATCATTTGCTCATCACCTTTACAGTTTACCATGTCTGCATTTAACCCGTAATTTTACTTACTAATTTCTAAACCCATCTAACATGTTTCATTTAAAGTTATTATAAAAGGGAAGCCTTATTTAATTATCTTAAATGAAAAACTTGTATCATTTGTCAAAGATATAAGGGAGGCACAAAAATGTGCAAGAAAATAAAATATTACTCAATTCTAGCTAAATACAGTTACTTGATGCCTCTTCTTGCTTTAAAACAGGCGTAGGAAATGTAAGCGAAGTGTTTAACATATACTAGTGAGACTTTTTTCTGAGCTAATTAGCGAGGTGAAACAAGCCTGAAGAGCAAATAATTTCCTCATTCTATGCTTGGTATTGTGTAACTCAGGTTCTTCGTCCTATGAAAGCCAATTCCACTTGCGCTTGGGAAATCTGCTTCCTAGTTTGTAAAGCACTGTAACAACATCCTGTCCTATCAGCAAGGCAGACAGTTTACATTTTAACGTGGAGACAATTCCAGCAAATAGTGGGCATTTGTAGGAGTCCTAAAGCCCAGGTAGGCCTCTTACGTGGAGTTTAGAGTTGGACAACTGCCTCGGGGTCTGGGAACGGAACCCAACCCAGGGCACAAGGGAGGGCAGGAAACACTTACTGCTAAAAAGAAAAAAAGACTTTCTGTAGCTGGCTCAGCCTCTTGGTTGGTCTTGAGCCAAGCGCTACACAACTGGAAACCAAATCTTGGTGCAGAGACGTGCTAGACCCAGGCTTCTGGACTCAGTCTCTGACCAGGTTGTACAGGGTGCTGGGATAGCTTCTGTTTTTCTCAGGGAAGGAGGGCCTGTCTCTCTCTTTGCTCAGATGTGACAACTGATTTGACCACAAGATTGACCGGGTCCCTTCTATGCCGCCTTTGTTTTGCAAACTGCAGACCCATTTCTCAAATTAGAGGAACCTCTGTGCCCTGGGAGCTTGGAAGACATCTCACCCCATGTACAGAATCTCCAGGTTAAACTCTTCAGGTGATTCCCACACTCATTAAACGCAAAACCAGTACTTGTAGAGATTGTGGTCAGGAGGTGACGCTGGACTTCAAGCCATGGATCCTTCAGCAGTGCGATCTCCATGCCCAGGGCTAGGAGCTGCCACTCCAAATGCTGCGGCTACCTGGAATGCCAGTTCTGACCCAGGGTCCCCTACGTATCAGTTAGAGGATCTTTGAGTAAGTGACTCAGCCCTTCTGGGCCTCTGTGGGAGCACCTATAAGAAGGCAGAGCGAAACGTACTTCTCAGAGTTGTCCAGGGTGGTCTGTAAGAATGCCTGGGGCATACAGCAAGTACTCGTCCCGTGTTCACCTGCAAGTATGCACTGGGACCTACAGTGTCAGGCTCTAGGCCCTTGCACTGAGCAGGACAGACAGGGTCAGCAGAGAATGGAGAAGGAAGAGCATCCGTAGTGCCTCTGAAGAGGATGGAGTTCACCAGAGTGTGACAAGAATGGGAGTCCCCGCAGCAGAGGTGGTGAGGTGTGCAGTTCCTGAGGAAACCACATTCGAGGCAAGGCTCGAGTTGAAAAGGGGCAGCCATATGGAGACCCGCAGACCCTGCATTCTGGGTAGAGGGCACACCAGGCAGAGCGCCAGAGCTCCGATCCGGAGCAAGGCCAGGGCTGGTGCAAAAGAGGAAGGGAAAGAAAGGACAGGCTGGCTGCAGTGTGCTCTTCAGTGTGGCTGGGGAAAATGTAAATGGCTGCAGACTTTCCATCACTACATTTCCTGTGTCTCTGCTCTGGCTGTGCAGTCATCTACATCTGCCCACAGGCCCTGGGCAGAAAGCTATTCATATTCTCCTGCACAGACGGCAGAGGCTGGGAGACCAAGGGTAGCCTCTGTCCCTATTTTCAGCCTCACAAAGACGGACCTACCCACACCGCTACCTGGGCGGGACGCTCTTCGGCCCCACCCATCACCGAGTGCCTAGGAGAAGGAACTGAGACCGTCCTCTGCCGAAAGTTCATGTGTTCTGGCTCAAAGGAGCTGATGTTTACCAGCTGGAAAGAATTTTCTGCTGATTTCACAAATAAGCCAACCGTGCCAAATCCTACGGGAAGCATGCCCAAAGCAGCCAGCAAAATCAGATTTGAGATTTTTACCAAAAGTGTAGGTGTTAGCTATGAGCCTGACCTGGTAGTTCTAAGTGTGTCAGCCAGAATTTAAAGACTTTTTGAGCAAAAGGAAGACTAGTAGTTTGAGGGGCTTAAACCTTATCAGGGCATCATACCATGCTACGGATCCCCCCCCAAAATATCAGCTTACAAAGAACTGATACCTGCTCCTCACTCGAGCCTAGTAACCATGGGAGGTAGGATAGGCCTTACAGAGCTTTCGCAAGTGAGAACTACAGTGTCCTACGAGGCTATAGCCTCATGTGGTGAAAGAGGGCTTGGAGGCTGCTCTGGCCCGTGACCGGGGTCTTTCCAGTGCCCCGGGCATCACTGTCAGCAGCGGACCTGTTTCCTCTCTTGCTTCCTTTGAGAAAGCCCCCTTTCTGTCCCTTCCCCACTGCTGCTGCTGACTTTGCTTCTCCTTTGTAGATACATTCATTTTGTCCAAAAGCACCTCCATAATTGAAAGTCAGACTATTAGCACTTTAATTCTATCTGCAACCTTAACTCCACTTTGCCACAGGGCCTAACATGGTCTCGCTTTCTGGCACCCGAGACAGGGACGTCTTTGGGGAGCCATTAGTCCGTCTACCACACACAGTCTCTCCCCAAGCAGCTATTTCTTGGCAACAACTTTACGCCGTGGGAGATTTACTGCCATAGTTGTTAAAGCGCCACTATCATCACCACCTCCACAATCTCCAAACAGTCGGCCAGGTGTTCCTAGTTTGCAGTGATTTAATCCTCATGAATTTTTATTTAATTTTATAAATTGTACTTGCTCAATTAAAAAAAAAAAAAACCTCCTCATTGGAGAAGAACTCCACAACCCTGTCCCTGCAGCCCCTCCACAACGCTGACTTAGAGAAAGCAGAATGCTACTTGGGGGGAGCCCACACCTCAAGACTTCAGCTCCTCGCACCGGAAAGAGGAGCCGCTGCTTCCTCGGAGCCTGCCTGCCCTTGACGGCGGACGAGACCCTGCTCACCCCTGCGCAGCCTCTGGACGGCGGGCAGCGGCTCACCCGCTCCGGAGCGGTCCGCTCATGGCTCACTTAACCCACGTTCCAGGGCCGCCAGGGCTGCTGAATCTGCGCTAAAAGTGTCAGCGTGGAGACTTGCAGTGCACCAGACAGGTACTGTAAAGACTTCAATCCTTGGGAAAAAGGCTGTAAGGAGTCTGGCCCTGGTTCCGCTGGTCTGCAGTAATGTAAACACAAGGCAGGGCTCTGCGTATCTGATCCTTCCTGCTGTAAACCCTGCAGGGGCCTGAGGGCATGAAGCACGTTTTCTACACTGAGCGGCTCCCTTCAGAGAATTCTGCACACATACCTCAGCTGTGCGGATGCCAAGGGAAAAAGGCTCTCAGCTGCCCTTTTCATTCCATAAATCTTTGCAGGACATCAGCCTCTGTCAGGGTAGAGCTCCAGGAGATGATCGGAAAAAAAGACTGAGACAGACACAGGGTGGCCGGTACATGGGGGAATCCTAGGCAGCTTGTTGTTTGGTGTCACTTTAAACGAGTCTACTTGAGCTGTGTGTCTGATATTTACTGCCCCAGGGGGCGGGGAGAAGATGCTTTAATAGTCACCGCTTTGTCAATTCACCTACTTTACCTCTATTGGCTAACATAAAATATGCCAAAAATGTTTGCTTTTCTCTAGAGCTCTTGTTCTCTCCCTAGTTTTAAACTGTGGTTTGTTTTTAAGTCAGACTACTTCTTGTTCAGAGGAACATATTAAAGAGTTTTGAGCTTAGGCAATAAAATATTTCACTCGTCATCCAAAACGGCACCCTACTGGTATTACGTGGATTCAGAATTGAGACTGACTGCCTGTCACCTTCAGGCCACTGTATGGAGTAGTCTCAAGGGTTTACTATTAATATCACTCGTGCTTGAAAAAGCTCTTAGCAATGTTTAGTGGACCTTAGAAAGAGGTTTTTGTGTTTTCATTCCAGGATACCTTCTACTTTAGGAAGAAACTCCTGCTTTGCCATTTATGTAAGGAATAATATCATGCATTTGAGCTAATCGACACTAGACATATTTTTATTTCATTCATTTAAAAAATATTTATTATGTGACCAGTATGCACCAAGCTTGTCCAGCTACCATTCCAGAAGTGTCCAGAGACTATTCCAAAGAACAAATCAGATAATGTCCATGTTCATATGGTGTTCATGGCTGGGAACACAGCTCAGTGACACAAGCACCTGCCTGGCAAGCACAAGGTCCTGAGTTTGATTCCTGGTAGCAAAAAAAAACTCCTATGGAGTTCACATTTTAGTAGAGTGTGGGGGAGAATAAAGAACAAATAAATCTATAGATTAATTTCAGATAGTGAGAGTTTCAATGAAGGAAATAAGAGATGTGATCAAGAATAATAGCGTGGGGTATTCAAAAGCTCAGTACATGCCCTGTCTTGTGACTGTGTAGATTTTTATTCATAACTGAGCTGAGACTTGCTTGGTTGGAAGAAGCTACATAGGCGGACTTAGGGGGAAAGTTGTCCGAGCAAAGCCAACAGCACACAGAGAGGTTCACATGAGCTTGTGTACTGAGAACCAAACAGATGCATAGTGAGGCTGCAGTCAGCAGGGGCAGGTGGCAGAGGCATGAAAAAGAGAGGGAAAAGACACATATTTGACAGGCTATTACGAGGAGATTAGATTTTCTTCTAGTTGCGATGAGAAACAATTAAAGGGCTTAATAAAGTAACGAACATGATCTAATTTACCGCTTTAAGAGACCATGCCAATTACCGGGTGGAAAATGGATTATTATGGGAAAAGTAGGAGCTAGAGGAACACTTGAGACTTATTACAGGAATCTGTGCGAAAGTTAGGGAGGTCTGGACTGTGACCGCAGCTGTGCCGTGGAGGGGCAAGAAGCAGCTCCGAGGGAGATACGTCAGAGCGGTACAAAGCCTGGAGGACTTGCCTCGCCAAGATGCAGGTGTGGGCAAGACAAGAATCCAGGACAGCTTCCGTATCACTGGTTGAGGTGAGGACAGTAGAGGATAAAGGCGGCAACAAATGTGTGGGCCCAGGAAACCAGAGCCCCTGTTTTAGACGTGGGCGAGCAGTGTGGGCTGAGCCTGCGCACGTCAAGTGGACAGTTGGACACACTTGCTCGGTGGACAGCTCAAGGCAAGCTCTTCTTTGTAACCACTCACTTGTAGCAGTATTTAAAAGCCATGGGCCACCCGGGTGTTGTGGTTCGGGAAGTGTAAACCCCGCTATATAAGAGGCTGAGTTCTTAGCCGGTCGGGCAACCTAGCGAGGCCCTGACTCAGACTAAACAGTAAGGTAGCCATGGGCCCAGGGTGAGAGTGTTGACAGAGGTCAAGCTCACAGATGCGTTAGTGTCCCTTATTAGGTCACTCGGTCATGTGCACATGTGCACACACGCGCACACACACACACACTCTGAAAAGACTTACAAGATATTTAAGAGAAAGCGAATAGCTATGTTTTTCACATTTCAAACTAGGAAGTGTTCAGGGTGTCTAAAAACACAGGAAATATTTAAATTTTAAAAATTGGTTACAATGAAAGACACATTGCCACTCGTCTTTCTCAGAATGTTCCTCCTCGCTCTGAACACACTTGCCCTGTCCCTCTCGCCGCTTTCGGGAGCCATTTTGGATGTCCTCTTTTGTGTCTGTACTTGCGCTGTCGTACCTGCCTCTGTGTCCTGAACGGACTGCAAATGTTTTCATGGTCATCTGGATTTTGGGAAGGATCCAGAAGCTGCACCGAGCCAGGTCTGGTAAGCCAGCTGGATGAGGACAAGCTGAACGTTTTGGTGCGCGTGCTTTCCCGTGGGGTGACACGAGGCGGCAGCATTCGTCTTGTTTTTGATCACATCTCATGAACACACGTATGGGAGAGGAGTCCTGAACTGCTTCGAAAGCATCAAGAACAGTGGGGTAAATGTGTCTGAAGCAAGAGGGATTCTTTTGGGGGGATAATGGCACGGGATCTTTCTTACTGTCTTACCGTGTATTTGCTCACCCTCGTAAAACCTTTTAATGAAGTCCTATTAGAAAGAGTAGAAACAGCCTCTCACTTATATCGCAACTTGGATTATAGATGCAACCTCAGGGCAGGGCAAATCGCACACAAGATGTACAGCACACAAGGCCTTTACACCTAATATTCCATTTCTGAGCACTTATTCTATAGAAATATTGGCACAAGTGCACAAATGCATAAGTAGAAAGGTATCTTTTGGCATTATTTGTATTAGGAAAGCATTAGAAATAACCTAAGTGACTTAAAGGACTGATTTAATAGATGTCATTTCTTTACAGTGTTTCAAAAGAAGTCATTCAGGGAGGATAGATAGTGGTTATTATATATATTGACAGTGGTTACTAGAGAACATCAGGACAACATGAAGAGTACTCTACTATTTCTGGGGAATAAATCCACGTATTTATGATTGCATATATAGGACACCAGTGACAGTGGTTGCCTTCAGGAGGGGAGTAGGACAGCTGGTCTACAGAAGGGGAAGGAGACTTACTTGTCACACGCAGCCTTCAGGACTCTGAGCTTTGAACCACCTGCAAGCACTTCTGCAGAAAGATGAAGACATTTTATCTTGTGGCTTGAGATTAGGGTGTATGGGGGCGTAGGGAGGTAACAGATGAAACTGAATAATGAAATTGATCTTGTGAAATTATGTATGTTAGAATGTTCTTAACACTTAGCAAGTGTCTGGTCCATTTTAGGCATCTAATAAATGTTAGCTATTATTATCCACATAACAGGATTACATAACAGAATCACACATCATTTAGTGAAGCAGGAGTTTGATTTTACAGGTTTAACTAGGGTTAGCATGAAGTCTCCAGATACTCTTTTTGAGTTTCACATCCAGATGGTGGTGTCTGGTGAAGGCCAGCTGTGAGTCCCTGGGTCCCTGCCTGTAAGGGGAGAACTGGGGCTTGGCCTGGTGCCCTGTTTTGTACCCAGGCCTTGGCCCCACAGACATGCAACTCTAGAACACACCTTTCTGCTTGAGCAATGGATTTTGTAATAAACACCTGTGCAGCCCTTCAGCGTTTGAAAATTCCTCTCATCCGAAAGGCTAAGGTCTTCTCACTGCGAACACAGCTGACTGAGTAAGATGTGAATACACCTGACCCACGCTGAGCCAACCAGATCTTCCTTGGAAGGTTAAAACTTGAACCAATGGAGACTTGAGTCAGTTCCCACATGGCTGAAAATACAATACACAAATGTGTGAGCTGTGGCTAAGAGAAGTAAAAATAAATCTAATGCTCCATTTGAAGATAAGGAAGAGTAGCTCACAGAGAGCTTCCAGGGTGTGGTTTCAGTGGCTTCCAGGGGCACAGCCGTATTGGTGCCTGTATATTCTGTGAGATTCTCTGGGTTCTTGGAATTCTCTTTGTTTCTTCTCCACATGCCAGGTTGCCTTGGTTTCTAGTTTGCTTTTGCTTTTTGCAACACAAAAGCATTCAAACCAATACAGACACCAAAATCAGGGCAAACTGCAGCCTGCTAGGGGCAGTAGAGAAGAACATGGCTGGAGATCAGCACAGACATCTCTCCCAAAGGGAAGCCCTGGGAAGGGGAAGGGTGTCTCGCTGGGTGAGGAGAGTGATTCTGGAGAAAAGAGGAAAGGGAGGGAGGTATTGAGGCTCCTCTCCCAAATCTTCCATGGTCGTTCATTTACTTTTCATAACTAAGTTGCCATAATAAAGCACCACACACTGGTGGCATAAAGTAGCACAAAATGTACTACGTCACAGTCGGAGGCTGAGAGTCTGAAATCGGTGAAATCAGAGCCGTGCTCTTCTGAGACCTGTAAGGAGGCTTCCTAGTTTCCGGTCACGGTCGTCGCTTCCTGACCGTCTGTGGCTTACAGTTACATCATTCCAGTTCTTGCCTTTTTGTTCACGCAGTGAGCTTGCTGGGTACCTCTGCCTTCACATGGCATTCTCCTGTGTGTGCCTCTGTCAGATTGCCCTCTTTTTATAAGGACAGCAGTCATTGGATTAGGGCCCACCTTAATGATCTTGTCTTCATTTGGAAAGACCCAATTTCCAAAAAGGTGACATTCATAGGCTCCAGGGATTGGGACTCAAATATATCTTTTGGAGGACATAATTCAACCAACAACCACTGTTGGACACAGGGAATTACTACCACTTACCGTATGTGCTAAGTAGCTCATCCAGGAAAACAGGATCTACTCCAAGAATTTAAAACAGAGGAGATTCAGCATAAAAACCTGGTCAGAAAGGGGACAGAAGCTGAGAAGCCAAACGGAAGACAGTGGACAGCCCAGACACTGGCCTGAGCAGAACATCGCTGCTCTGCCTAACCTGAAGGGACAACCGAAGGGGTGTGAGTCACTTACTAAGTGGAAGTGAGGACCATGGCAAATTTGTCACGAGCCAGGATTCCTCCTCCCTCGCACCCTTTAGGCTCCTGCCATAGCCTCTGTTCCTAGGGAGCCAGTGGACACTGGACCCTAGAAAGAGGGCCCTGCCATAGAGAGAGCAGGGAAGGCCCGGGAGCTGAGGGCCAGCAGACCCAGGACTGGCCCACCCACTGTGCACCAGAGTTCTAATTTAAGCCCCACAGCAACTTCTGAGGTGGGCATTACTGTCCTAAACTTATAAGCAGGGCTGCTGAGACTCAGAGGGCTTAAGTAGCTCCCTAGCTCCCAGCTCTGTTCTGTCTTAGGTTTGCACCTGGGGCTGCTCTCAAGGTTGTAGCTGCTCTCCCTCAATGAACCCTTTCTAGCTTCCAAGTTGATTCTCTCTGTCTCCTGTATCTGTACAGCCCCCTAGAAGAGAGTCGCCTTTGCAAACAAACTATGCGCAGGAAAAGCCTTATTAAGGGACCCAGCAGGCAGGACAAATCCAACAGCCATGGGGTCACTACTGGTATTTTCTTTCTCTCCTCCTACTTTGCGGGCTTTTCCTCTGGTATTAGATCACGCCTGCTTACTCTGTTGCTCTCTTGTTCTGTCTCTCCCTGTTGTGCTTCGCCCCCAGCCCCCGCCCCCCGGCAGCCTATGCGGGAGCACTCATCCCAGCTATCACTTTTCCAAGGAGCTCTTCCTAGGACGCTCAGGCCAGCCCATCACAACCCCTTTAGCTGCAGATAACTCCTTTTTCATACTCCTCACACAGCTTGTCGTTTCTAGCCTCATGGGGTAGCCTATTCAACTACTAATTTGTGGTCTTCTATCTTTTAATTTGCTCATTTCTACAGGTACTAGGCTTTATATTCCCTTGCCGTGAGCATTCTCCCAAGAGGAAGTAGCACCCTAATGAAGACGAAGCTCCTTTACGTGCAGGGCAAAGGGAGAGCACCCTGCTGGCGATGCCAGGAAGAGAAACCGAGGTTCCCTCCCAAAACCAGAAGGTGGCTGACCGTTGGCAACTGCTGAGCTTAACAAAGACCAGAGACAGACATGGAACCCGAGGGTCAGTGAAATCATTCCCCTGAGCTCATTTTCCAAAATTCCATAGCCTTTACAATAAATTTTAGTCATACGATGACATCGCTAAGAATATGACCGACATTGAAAGAAAGAGTGTCAAATACGTCAGAGGTCGGGCAATGGTAGCCCCATCCCTGCCATGTGCAGGTGGCGGGGCCCTGTCCTCCTCAGTGTCCCTTACTCTTGCTGGGTGGAAACTGTCTGTGGCTCAGACAGAAGTACACTCAGGGTAATGTCCAGGGGACTGTGAACAGACATCAGAGGACAGTCAAGCGTACACATCGAAAAGCCAGCACCTTGTCATGGAGCTCCCGGGTCAGGCGAAGATCTTATGCATAGGGTGGGTGGAAGCAGAGGAATCCCTCTGAGCTGCTTGCCTCCTGGGCCCCTTGCCTTAGGCAAAATAGGTGTGCCAACAGCAGCTATGAAGGTACAGGAACCAGGTGCCCTTCCCGTGTCTCAAACATTCTCATGGGCTTCTGGTACAAACATAGGAGTTGTCATTTCCTGCAGCCCAGTCAGGATGGGAGATTAGACTCAGCTTTGATTTAAAGAAAACAAACAAAAGTGTATATTTTTGTACATGAGTTGCAGACTGAGGTTCGTGTTCATTTGATTTGTTTAATGTCTGACCTCCAAGTCTCTGGCAGCCAACGCTGTCTCCTTGAACCCATGGCCTGAAGCACGTAAGTGCACAGTCAATATTTGCTGAGCTGAGTGAACGGCCAGTTTGGGAAGTCAAGTGGTGAAAGGGCGTTACTCCTCTCTCCTGCAACCATGCCCTGCATGTAAGACCCAGAAGCCATGGGTTCTGACTGTCTCCTAAACCCCAGTGACGCTGATCACACACTGCAAAGCCACACTGGCAGGTTCGGACCAGGCAGGCATTCCCTGCATGGTGAGGAACACCTCCGAAGTACCTCGCGTCTCAGGGATGGTTGCCCATCTTTTCAATTCTCAAGTGCCCCAAGCTATTGTGAGTGAGTTCTACGCTTACATTCCAAGCAACTTGATTCTCTGTCTTGCAAAAATGCAAGTTGGAAAGTTAATTCATTCCTTTATGTCAAGGTAATTGCAATTTCACCCTAATCCTTTCTTGTCAAAGACATTTCTACAATGCAGGGAGTTATCTTTTACAAGAGACACTTCAAGGTGATTTAATAACAACATTCGTATGAGTCACATTTCCCCGTAGTCATCTACTCCTCAGCTTGGGAGAAAAGGGTTTCAAGTGCAGAAGAGAGAAAGTATTTGGCTAGACTCAGAACCCACTTACACACTCTCAGGCAAACATACACCTTGAAGGAAAAAAAGAGAACTCTAAGGACCACTTGTGGTAACTAAGGTGCTAAATAGTGTCTTTCAAAGCAATGCTATTTTTGTTTCCTTTAGGACAAGCTACATTTGTCCGTTGCACTGAAACAGCTTAGAACACTTACAAATTTAACAACTGTAAATAGAGGAAATTTCATATGGAGAACAATTATTAACTCAACAATTTACGGAACCCTAACTATGAGCTAAGCATTGTGTTGGGGGCTTGGACTGAACAGCACATAGTTGTCAGCTAGCTGCCCCCACCAGGAGAGTGCTTTAGTGGGCCAAAGGCCAAAGGCCAAAGTCCTGCCTCTCTCCCTCCCCCCCATTCTCTCTCTCTCTCTCTCTCTCATTCCCCTCTCTCTTACCCTCTAGCTTTCTGTGTGTCTCCATTTCTTTTAAGTGTAAAACTACAAGTTTGTCATCTCTTCCTTTTCCTCCCTGTGCCTAGGAAAAAGAATGGGGATGGATATTTTTAACCTAACCAAATTCCCATCTCACTCCACTTTAGGAAGAAGCTTGCACATTCTTCACTGTTGCTAATTCTCACTTCACATGAGAGTGCAACAAAATGCAAGAAAGTTGACTGGACTCTGGGCAAATTCAGGAGACCTTGGTGTGAAAGGCCAGCAAGCAGCTCCATAGTGGACACTCTTCAGATCCACCCACCATGTCTCTGTCAGCCTCAGCCCAAGAGGAAACAGAGCGGAAAGAGAAAGGGCTTAGTGGAAACTGCCTTTGAAAAGCTCACCATTGTGTCTCCCTAGAAAAGTACATTAAACAAAACACATTTTCACGTCAAGAGTAACTGCTTAGGACAAGGGACATCTTTGCCAAGTGCCACTTACTCCACCTCCAGTGAGAATTTTCTGGGCACGCCAGCACTGGTGTTACTTGCTGTAGGCAGATTCTTTACCTGTACTTATAAAAACCCACACTGGCTACTCCTAGTGGAGCTCTTGTATGTTTCTTTCATCTGGATTTCTAACACTAGGAACTCTGTGATCGACAAGTATCAACAGGTTAACAGGATTGTCTCAACAGATACTGGCACATCTTCGGTGCAGACTTGCCCTAGCCAAGGTGTTCTGTGCAGAGGACCCATGCGTGAGCGGCTCACCAAGAGATGCCAGAACTGTGACTACACCACAGGAGGCGAGTTTGCATTTTGACTGGAAAAAACCGCTACTCTTACCCATGTGTGATGCTATGTTCTGAATACGACCATGTAAGATATAAAATTACTTGGAGTTTACTTGAACCCTGTGTGAGATGAAATGAGATAGAGATTAATAAAATGGTAGGAGGCTGTAACTATTTTTCCAATACTTTAGAAAGTTAGAAAAACAAAGAGCAACAGCAGCTGCCTTCCTGGTACAGATCATTTTTTCCACCAGCAGTTGGTTGCCTTCGGTAGAAGGCAGTCCTTCGCCCTCACAGAGGATGTAAGCTACCCACAGAGGATTTTATTCTCAAGATAGATTTCTGTCTATGAGAAATGACATGGAGGGACAGTGGTCTTTAGTACATTTAACATGAGTGTATATTTACTGGGTATCACTTATACAGATTAGAAAGTATAGAGATTTCGAAAAACCTGGATAGTGAAGCAGTATATCGATAAAAAAAACCAAGATGTAAACTAATCTGGAAAATTCTGGGTGGTAACTGTATCTAAGTATCACAAAAGGTATTTTGCATAATCCACTTCAGGCTTTCATGCCAGTTAAAATTAATTGTCAACTTGATTGGTTTGGGAGATATCTAGTGGGCTAGTAACACACACTCTGGATGTGTCTGGAAGGTCCTTGGAAGTATACCCTCAGGCTCCATATCTGATCCTTGGACTCTTTCTGGTTTTGTTCCCTTCTCTCCTTCCTGGCCAGCACACAGTGAGCAGCTGTCCTCTGCCAAGCCGCTCCACCATGATGTTTCTACCTTGGAGACAGTGGACCAGGGACTGATGCCCCTGAAAGCATGAAGAACAAAACTAAACCTCTCTCTCTTTAAGTTTAGGTGTCAGACATTGTGTCCCAGCCATGCAAAGCTGACGAAGAGAGAAAACTGGTACCAAACAAGTGGGGTTGTTGCTGTGACTCTACCTCACTGTGTGGTTTAGAAGCCTTCGGACCTGGTTTGAAGGACGAGTTCGGAAAGGTTTGAGACATGGGTTATAAAAGCCTTAGAACCCTGTAAGCAGAGCCTGAGGGATGATTCCAGTTGGAGATCAGAAGATCAGAATGATGATAAAAATGTGAACAGTAAAGGCCAGGCTGAGGTTTAAATTAGGAACAAGGAGTTCATTGACATTTGGACTACAGACCACATATGTCATACGTGGGGGAAAAAACAAATCTGCCCTTTGTCCATGTCCTGAGACTCTAAAGAGGACTGTTTAAGGGCAGTAGACAAGGGGCTGGGGGTTTAGCTCAGTGGCAGAGCACCTGCCTGGCAAGTGGGAGGTCATGAGTTCGATTCCTGGTACCAAAAAAAAAGGGGGGGGCAGTAAACTAATCTGGGGGAGAAAATTTCTTTTTTTTTTTTTTGGTCTCTTTGAGACATGGTGTCATTATGTGGTTCAGGATAGCCTTGAGCTCATTTTGTAGCCCAGGCTGGCCTCCAACTCACAGTCATCCTCCTGCCTCAGCCACCTGAGTGCTGGGATTACAGGCATGAGCCACCACACCTGGCTTGGGGGAGAAAATTTGAAGGCAGCCCAACTTTAAGGTTGTGGATTGGTACTGCTGACTGCTTTTAACCAAATTTATAGTGAGAATTGGTAGCAAATAGCAGAGTAGATCAATTTGAAAAACTTAAATTTTGCCCCAAAAGAAACCACATGTGAAGTTGGAGCCAAAGGATATGTGATTATTAAAGAGATTAGTGCCCTTAAAATGAAACTAAGCACTTTCTACAAGGATAAGAAGAAAGATATCTTAAGTCATCTCAGAAATCAGCAAGGTCCCATCCATCCTAAGCTGAAGGGTATAAAAGTACAACTTCTCATTTGAGAGAAGAGCCTCTGGGCTTGAAGAAGGGCTGCCTAGGAAGTTGGTTCCCTGGGATTCATTGCAGCATGCCATCGAGGCACTGAGAGACTGCTAAAACTATGGTCCAGTGGGGCCCAACTATTGCTACAGCTGGCAGCAGAACCTGTAGCATTCACATGCTGGTGTTTTAGGAATGCATAATACAAGAGTTGTGGAGTCAGAGAGCCTTCCACTCAGATTTAAAGAAAAGTCTTAGAGACCAGGCAAGGATTCCCTGAGAGGTTGGTCTAGGAGCTGTTGGAGCTGTAGGAATGAAGCCAAAAGTGCAGTAGAGAGTCCAGGAAGTCGGAGATGCCAGGATGTGGAATATCTACCAAAGAAAGCTGCAGGCTATAAATGGAATTAGCCCAAGAGAGACGGTGGGCTGCAAACAGCAAGGCCATGGGGGTGGGTCTGCTTAAGCCCTGCAGAACTCACATCTCAGCACCATGTGCCCCAGATACCAAACATGAAGCTACAAGATCTAATGTTTGCTCTGCTGCGTTTTGTCTGCTTTGGTCTGATTGTTCTCTAATCCTCTATTCTTCCCTTTAGGAATGGTAATGTTTATCTTGTGCCATTATACACTGAGAAATGTAACTAAATTTTTCATTGTTACAGAGCCTTAGAAGAGACTTTTACTTAGATTTTTAAAAATTCTAGAACTGTTGAGAGTTTGTCAAAGGGTTTTTGTTGTAAAAAAGATCATTGTAGCACATTAGGTAAAATTATTAACTTATTATGTCTAAAGTATGGTAAAATTATATTTGGGTGTCAAGTTGACAAGGGATGGAATGTGATGGTTAAGATTAATTATCAACTTGATTGGCTTGGAGCCAGCAAGAGCATTGGTCAGCACACTTCCGGCCTCTGGGTGGATTATGGAAGTGTGACCTTGAGTACTGTGTATGGTCCCTGTCCTTTCCTCTCTGGTGCTGTTCCCCCGCTCTGCTTGCTGGCCGACATGAACAACATCATTGTTCCATCACACCGTACCCTACCACGGTGTCTCTGCACTGAAGTCAGCAGACTCTAGCCTGATTTCCTGACACTACGAGCCAGGACAAACCTCTCTTGCTTTAAGCTGTGGGTGTCAGGTGTGTGTTCCAGCAACAGGAAAGCCGATTAATACAGCTTACAGCCTTTGTTCTGGGCTATGTCACTCACTCCCGACCTTTATTTTTTCTGGTGATAGTGCTGCTATGTGTTAGAGATTTACCTGTATTAGGTTTTCACATCCATGAAACTTGCTGCTTATCTCCAACTTGGTAAATATCTATCTCACTAGGGCTTCCTATCCAAATTGACCCCACTCACCTCAAATGACTTTCAGAAAAAAAAAAAAAAGACAAAAAAACCCATACTTTTGGATTTTGAAAACAGAAATGAGGAAATGGCCTAGAAATGGTCTACTATACTACAGTTGTATGATTATGCCCAAGTTCTTTAACACTGCACTGGACTTTTTTCCCACAACAACTTGTTTGCTGTAACTCAAACATATTTCTAGCAAAAAGAAGGTTAAAGACATTTGAGGACCTTAGACTAACAAATTTAAAGAAAACAAGTCCTATTTTTTTTACACACTGGGTAACATTTACAACTTGATAAATCATGTTGGATCTGAGTTCCTGGTCACACATGTCTGAGTTTAGCAGTCCCTAGGAGCCTAGTCCTAATTACATGTTAGAATCACTGAAGAAGATTTAAAATGTGCTGGTGTCTGAAACCCCACCACAGGAGATTCTAATTAATGTTCTGGAGTGGGGCATGTTGTTTTATTTCTATTTTTAAATCTTTGCTAGACTTCTTAACATTACTACTAGTCTTTTCAGTGGGCTGGGAATTATAAGCAAGTCCTGAGCTTGATTAACCAGAACCTCTATATTTCCTCTATGATATTCTTTGACAATTACACATTCCTTTTGATTACTGAACATTTCTAGTTCCCTAGATGGAAATCTCGAGATTGGGAGACCTTCTTTGCCAAGTAGAAGCCTGATGTTTTTAATGAAACTAAAACATACTATCTCTTTTTTGTGCAATTAGTCAGAAAGGTTTGTAAGAATTTCCTACAAACATTAAAGGGAGTGGCTTAGAGTTTAATTTACCCCAAGAAGATAGGGTGTCTTTGACTGTGGGATATAGCTGCCCTTGCTATCCTCTAAATGTTATCCACTATCTTTATATCCAATGACCTTAGAAATATCAACTCATAGAAACAACTTCTATTGTCAAACAACCTTTAATCCAAAGCTCTTGGTCATTAAAATGCCTCCCAAACTCCTACCTCCCCCAAAGACAATCCAGGGGGCACTGAAGGGCAGAATAGCTGAATTATTCAAAAGGATAACGGATGAAGTTAGAAGTCAGATCGAAGAGATACTTAGTGGGATCTCAGAAAATATAACTAAACAGATAGTGAAAGTAATAACTAAAATGATCCAGGAGCTTTCAGGAGACACTAATAAAAAGCTAGATGAGAAAAACAAAATGGTGCAAAACACAGTGATCAGTTTAGCAAAGAATTAGAGTCCATGAAAAAGGTTTAAATCAGAAATTCAGGAAACTAAAAATTATCCTGAAAGTATAGGCCACAGAAGCAACCAAGGTGAGAACAGAATTTCAGAGCCAGAAGACACTGATGCTGTCAAAGACCAACTACTCGAAGACACCTTAAAAGCAACAAGAAAATGGATCCAAGAGTTGCTAGGTGATGCAAAGAAAGATGAACATAAGAGTAATTGGAATAAGTGAAAAATTAGAAGATGACATTAAAAAAAAACTACTCACAAAAATAATGACGGAAAACTTCCAATATATAGGGAAAGAAATAAACATAGACATAAACAAGGCATATAGAACTCCAAATAGCCACAACCAAAAGAAAACCACTCTGTGCCACATTACTCAATGTACCACAAGTCCGTCACGGGGAAGAAATCTTAAAAGCTGTTAGAGAAAGGCTACAGATCACATACAAAGGTAAACCCATTAGAATCACAGCAGGCTTCTCTACACAAACCTTAAAGTCCAGGAGGGCTTGGAGTGAAGTGTTTCAAGTCCTAAAAGAGAATAATTTCTAACCCCAACTTACATATCCTGCAAAACTTTCCTTCAAATTTGATGGAGAAAAAAGGTACTTCCATGACAAGGAGCACTTTGAGAAATCCATGACCACAAATGAGCATTACAAAAAATTCTCAAGGATAACCTACAAAGAGACAATGAAGGCAACATTACCAATAAGTCAAGAAGAATGAATACACTTGG